TCCTTGTGGGGTGTTGGGTGGTTCTAGTGCACCCCTATCCCCTAATCTCTCTGCTTTTTGACCTTTTGTGGGTGTGAGAGGATGGGGACTATGCCTGGACTTCTCGGGGCCCCTCCCCACATCCTGGTCCTGGCCTCTTAGTGACTATTTTGTCTTTCCCTTCCCCCATTCCTTCCCAGGTTTCGGTCTAAGTACCACCCAGATGAGGTGGGGAAGCGTCGGCAGGAGGCCCGGGGGGCCCTGCAAAACCGACTGAGGGTATTCCTGTCCCTCATGGAGAGTGGCTGGTTTGATAATCTGCTCCTGGACATAGACAAAGCTGATGCTATTGTCAAGATGCTGGATGCAGGTGTGTGGATTTGGAGGGGTGGCAGACATCTAGGCCCCTTAGGAGTTTTGGTGTCTGATGACCAAGATCTTGGGAAATAGCAGGTTGGAAGAAACACAGGGCCCTTGGATTGTGACCCTTGCTCCCTTTGTTGGTAGCTGTGATTAAGATGGAAGGCGGCACAGAGAATGACCTTCGCATCCTGGAGCAGGAGGAGGAGGAGGAACAGGCAGGGAAGCCTGGGGAGCCCAGCAAGAAAGAGGAAGGCCGGGCTGGACCAGGCCTGGGGGAAGGAGAATGCAAGGCCAACGATAAGGACGACAAGAAAGAAGGTGGCAAACAGGTCTGAGTAATGCAGCTTCTGAGTGCTGTCTCGGAGGGTGTGGGGGAGAGAATGCAGCATCTTTGGTGGTGGAGTTGCATGTAGGGCTTGGGTGGGGAGAAAGTGTGCTCCTGGGCTCAGCTGTGGAGGGTGGCGGCAGGGGGGTGGGGGGGCTCTGATAAAGGTCCACAGCGATTGTCTCTACCTGTAGGCTGAAAATGACAGTTCTAATGATGACAAAACTAAGAAATCTGAGGGTGATGGGGACAAAGAGGAGAAGAAAGAAGACTCTGAGAAGGAAGCCAAAAAGGTAAGGTGTCTCTTGCATGGGGTCGGAACGTTGGGCTGGGGTCCAGGTTACTTGACTCATCCCCTCTGCTCTGGCTCTCACAGAGCAGCAAGAAGCGGAATAGGAAGCACAGTGGTGATGACAGCTTTGATGAAGGCAGTGTGTCTGAGTCTGAGTCTGAGTCTGAGAGTGGCCATGCTGAGGAGGAGAAGGAGGAGGCTGGTAGGTTTTATTTTCTGCTTCTAGTCCATTCTCTTCCTACTTAGTGGGGGTGGCAGGAGGTGAGAGGTTGGTGAAATTGATGGGAGCTGGCTCTTAGGGGAAGACTTCTCTGATGGGGGACAGTAACAGCTTCTGTTTCTTTCCTACCAAAATCAATAATAAAAATTCACTAACTCTTACCACTTCCTGCATAGAAGAAGCACTCAAGGAAAAGGAGAAGCCCAAGGAAGAAGAAAGGGAGAAGCCTAAGGATGCCGCAGGGCTGGAGTGTAAACCCCGGCCCCTGCATAAGACATGCTCTCTCTTCATGCGCAACATCGCGCCCAATATCTCCAGGGCTGAGATCATTTCTGTGAGTGGGGAAATGAACTTGAGGGCAGGGGCTGATACCCAGGATATGTTCCTTTGGTGGGGTGGAGAGAAGGCAGTCGGCAATGCCTTTGACAGATACCCCTGTTTCACTTAACAGGGAGGCCCCCTTCCCATGGGCCTGTGCCCTTCAAGGGCTGGTCCTTATTGTACCGTTTGCTTTCAGGTGCTGGCATTCTTCAGCCCATGACTGGTTTTTTTCTTGCTTGAGGATGGGAAGGATTAAAAGGCAGTTTCCTAGGGTTTTGAGGACAATGGGGATTGGAGGAAGAAGCAAATCCTTGAATCATTAAGTGGGGTTTCTGTTCCTCTGCTTCTTGCAGCTTTGTAAAAGATACCCAGGCTTTATGCGTGTGGCACTATCAGAGCCCCAGCCAGAAAGGAGGTGAGGAACTAGGTACCTTGGCGAGAAGGTGCGGGGGAAGGTTAATGGCCAACACCATTCCCACTTCTGGACTGTGCTGACATTTTCTTTCTTGTGTAGGTTTTTCCGTCGTGGCTGGGTAACTTTTGACCGCAGTGTTAACATTAAAGAGATCTGTTGGAACTTGCAGAATATCCGAGTGAGTGCTGGGAATGGGACTGTCTTAGGGAAGAGAAAATGTGGTTCTCCAAGTCTGCATGACCTCTGACTTCTTTGTTCATTTGTTGGTCCATTCATTCTGTGCCCTCTTTCATCTGCTCAGTCACTCCCATTAATTGTTTACTCTCATGTCTGGGCTGGGCTTTGGGGTTGTTACTATGGACTAGACATATCTGGTCCCTGCATTCAGGGAGCTCACAGTCTAATCAATCACTGGTGCTCTCAAGAGGGGCCAGTCTTTGAGTTGTTGCTTCTCAGGCAAGCGTTGGGAGCTTTCTGATTCTGTGTTCCTCCAGCTCCGGGAGTGTGAGCTGAGCCCTGGTGTGAACAGAGACCTGACCCGCCGCGTCCGCAACATTAATGGCATTACCCAACACAAGCAGATTGTGCGCAATGACATCAAGCTGGCAGCCAAGCTGATCCATACGCTGGATGACAGGACCCAGCTCTGGGCCTCTGAGCCAGGGACACCTCCCCTGCCAACAGTCAGTGACTCCCTTATGGAACTTTTTCAAAAACAGCTGATATCACCTCATCTGCCATGGGCACCTCTGACCTCACTTGATCTGTAGCATTGACCCCTTGTATCCTCCTGCCTGCTCACTTGTTTGCCCTTCCTCGTCTGGGTAGTACCTCCTCCAGCTTCCAGCAGAACAGACTGACGTAGTGATCATTTGTGGGCTATGGTAGAACAAGTAACAAGAATGAAGGCAGATACTGAGGGGGCAAAGATAACCCTGAACTCTATTGCCCCTCACGTTGCCTTTTCAAATGCATGTGTTCCTGGGTTACCTACACTAGGTTTTTCTCTGCCTCACTTGGCCCTCTTCCTCCTTGCCAGAGCCTGCCCTCGCAAAACCCAATCTTGAAGAATATCACTGACTACCTGATTGAAGAAGTCAGTGCTGAGGAGGAAGAGCTGTTGGGGAGCAGCGGGGGAGCCCCCCCAGAGGAGCCTCCTAAGGAAGGGAACCCAGCTGAGATCAATGTGGAGCGGGATGAGAAGCTAATCAAGGTGCCAGCAGCATACGGGGCGCGCCTCAGGGTGGCTGAGGGGCGAGAGTAGGGAACTGAGAGCTTCTTGTTTCCCTTAGGTTTTGGACAAACTCCTTCTCTACTTGCGGATTGTGCATTCCCTGGATTATTACAACACCTGCGAGTACCCCAATGAGGATGAAATGCCCAATCGTTGTGGCATAATCCACGTTCGGGGGCCCATGCCACCCAACCGCATCAGTCATGGAGAAGGTACGCTCCAGGTTCCCATTCCCTTTTTGTTCCTCTTTCTTCCCAGCTGCCCTTAGTCCTCCGGTGGCAGTCTTTTGCCACCTCTCCTCCATTCCCCTCCCCCCTCCTATTCTTGCTTCTGGCTTTCTCCTTCAACCTCCTTTCTGTTCCCAAACTACAGTGCTAGAGTGGCAGAAGACATTTGAGGAGAAGCTGACTCCACTGTTGAGTGTGCGAGAGTCTCTTTCAGAGGAAGAGGCCCAGAAGATGGGTCGAAAAGACCCTGAACAGGAAGTGGAAAAGTTTGTCACCTCTAACACCCAGGAACTGGGCAAGGATAAGTGGCTGTGTCCTCTTAGTGGCAAGAAATTCAAGGTCTGGGATGTTAGAGAATTGGTTGGGTAGAATTGTGGGAGGTGGGGTTGAGACAGGAGGTAGGAGTGGGGGGGGCGGGGTACTGCTCACTGCATGGCAGTAGGGAGGCTGATGATCCTTCCAGGTTGGGCCTGGGAACGAGGGAACCCACGTAACTTGCCGTCCTGATCATCTCTCTCCACCCAGGGTCCTGAGTTTGTACGCAAACATATCTTCAACAAGCATGCAGAGAAAATTGAGGAAGTAAAGAAGGAGGTGGCATTTTTTAACAACTTCCTCACTGATGCCAAACGCCCCGCTCTGCCTGAAATCAAGCCAGCCCAGCCACCTGGCCCTGCCCAGAGTAAGATACGATCCATGAGGGTCGTTCCCTCTACCTTAACTGTCCACGGATTCCTGTTTCTCTTTAATGTGCCATCCCCTGAGGAGTTTCTGCCCCACCCCTCAGGCTGTAGTCCTGGAAGTTAGTTGCCCACTTCCCTCTCCCCCCGCAGTAATTCATGGCCCTGTCCGTGTTGTACTCCCCCCAGGCCTGACCCCGGGACTCCCCTACCCACACCAGACTCCCCAGGGCCTGATGCCCTACGGTCAGCCCCGGCCCCCCATCTTGGGCTATGGAGGTAAGTATAGGAGGGAGATGAAAGGCCTTGGTGGTTTTGTGGGACTGGGAGAAAGAAAACTTAGCTAGGATGTAGTTGAAGTCAAAGGTTTTCAACTCAACATTGATCTTTTTCATAGCTGGTGCTGTCCGCCCTGCAGTCCCCACAGGAGGTCCTCCGTACCCCCATGGCCCATATGGTGCTGGCCGAGGGAACTATGATGCCTTTCGAGGCCAGGGAGGTTATCCTGGGAAACCTCGAAACAGGTAAGAATGAGGTAAGATGTCCAAGCTTTCTTGTGTCCTTCAAACTCCCTTTCAGGAACCCTCAGCTCTCATCCTGTTTTACCTCTTTACCTGACAGGATGGTTCGTGGAGACCCAAGGGCCATTGTGGAATATCGTGACCTGGATGCCCCAGACGATGTTGATTTCTTTTGAGCCATGCACCTTTCCTCACTCTTGGTACCGCCTAAACTTGTTCCTGCCTTGTCCTATCCAGCTGAGAATTTTTTGTACGAACAGCCCTACCGCCAATAAAAGCACTTCCATAGTGACTCCTGACTAGACTGTTACATACCTTCCCAAATCCTCCCAAATGTCAGCGGGGCCATGTTACCTGGGCCTTGCCACTTTTTTATTGATGCTAAAGGCTTCAGGTTTTGCTGGGACCCCTTTCTGGTAAATAGGAGCACATGTATGGGATCAGGAGCGAGTCTCAGTTCTGGGACCTTTACCCTCAGTCCAGGGCATGCTGCTGCTTTTCGGCGTCATGGCTGGTCAAGCACAGGTTGTAGAAGGAGTTCGGGTCAAAGGCTGTGCTTACCTCCCGCCAGCCCACCCACCCAGCAGCCTGTAGTTCACTGGGGCTTTTTGGAGGGCCCCAGTAGTGAGGGTCCAATACCAGGACATAGGCTTCCGTGCCTGGCCCGATGCAGACTCCCAGCAAAGCCTTGGACTGGGCGTCCGCATCCCCCCCCACCATCACAGGGCCCCCACCTCCTGAGAAATGGGAGTAGAGCCTCTCCAATTGCCCCCGAATCCCCGCTCCACGTGGCACATGGCACAGGCGCCCCTGAGGCCCTTCGAAGTGAGTGAGGCAGAGGCTGGCCTCTACACAGCCGATCCAGTTTCGGGAGCCCCGGAACCCGGGGGGCTTGTCGCCCATGTCCTCCAGGGCCGCCTGCACCGCGGCCAGTCCAGGTACGCCCGCGGGCTGGCCCTCTGGCCACGAACACAGCGTCTGTATTGTGCGGTAGCCGCAGCCCCAGCCCCTGTCGTCCAGCCCATCGCAGCCGTAGTGATAGTAGAGGTAGTGACCCGAGACGACCGCCAAGCGAGCGGAGCCGCGGCATGGCGGGTCCAGGCCCACATGGACGTCCTTCAACAGCTCCAGGGCGGTCCGCAGAAGCAGCGGTCCCGAGGCCAGGCAGACACGTCCTCCTGGCGGCGCGGAGCGAACTCCAAGAGGAACTCCGGGCTCCAACACTTACTCTCGGCCCTGGGTCTTAGGCTGGCCGCCGGCGGCGGGCTCCAGTGACCAGCGCAGGGAGCAAGCTGCGACCGCGGGGCTACACGATCGCCGCAGCTCCCATAATGCACCGCCGCGCCCCTCGGCAGGTCGCCGGCCTCATTGCGCAGGCGCGAGCTCCGCCCCGCGGCCAGCGGCCCTCCTCCGAGATCCGCATGTTCGGCGGCGTCTGTTCCCACGCGTGCGTTCGCTCAGCCCCAGTGATTCAGGCGTCCTGCCGCCACCCCCGGCTCCCCAGTCGCGCACACTACTGTGGCTGTAACAGTTTATTGGCAGCCCACAAGGGCGAAGGCACCGCGGGGGGAGCTCAGCCCAAGACATGCAGAGGACGAGGAGCCCCGGGGGAAGTCGGCGGTGGGGTGGGCAGGGTCTGGGGCTCATCTGTGTTATATCCCAGCCCTTAAATAAATACTATATACAGCTAGGGGTCCAGGCGGGGTGGGGGTCCGTGGGGGTCCCGCCTGGGTCACAGGTCTGAGCAGCGATCCTGCTTGCTGTAATGGTCGAACTGGTTCTTCCAGTGCACCATGTAGGAGCTCCAGCGGTGGAACTCGGCCTTCCACTGGCGCTCTGCCTCGTCCAGCGTGTCTGCGGCCACCGCGCCCGGCAAATGGAGGGGGGGCGGATAGGACACGAAGAAGGTCGGGGAACGGACGTGGGGGGGGCACGAGTGCAGGGAGGACATGGAGAAATGTAAGAGACCACGTGAGGTGGTGGAAAGAGGATCAGGAGAATGTGCGAAAGACGGAAGGCGAGAGGGAGGGTGAGGGTAAGGCGGGGCCAGAGACGGATGGCAGGAAGGAGAGAGGAGAAAATGACCGGAAGACGGAGGGGGACAGAAGGCATCAGAAGGGGGAGGGTCCGTGGGTTGATGGGGAAAAGAGAAGACAGAAATGATTGACGGTTATATCCCCACTCGGGGATGCTATTCAACCCCGGGCCTCCTGCCCCCAACATCAGGCTCAGGCTCCAAAGGATAATTTTATAAAAGAATATTGGCTTTCCATTTCCATTTAAACAAAGGCGTGTGGGTCCCTGAGACGGTGGCAGGTCACACTCCCCCGACCCGCCCTGTCCAGTTTGAGTCTCTCGGTTTGAGGAGGGAGGGGGCGCTGGGTCGGAGGTCCCTGAGTGGGCCCTTCCCCACAGTCCGACCACTCATTAGAGGAGGGGCCCCTGAGGCCGGAGGGGGAAAGGCCCAGGTCACAGCCGCAGGAGCCGAGACAGAAAGAGGAGGAGGAGGAGAAGAAGGAAGGACAGGGGGAGGCCGGGCCTGGGCCTCGGGGCAGCCTCCCCATGGGCGGGGCCTGAGCAGGTGCTGGGGGATTCCGAGGCTGGGGGGAGAAGAGAGGGGTTACACCCGGCCAGCTCCCGCTGCCCTCTTTCTGCGCCCCGTACTCCCCCTACTCCCTGTCCCTGCCCGCTGGCCCCTGCGTACCGGTGGCGCTGAGCAGTTTGGGTAGGAAGCGGTTCCAGAAGGCGCAGGCCTGGGCGCGCAGCCCTCGCCGCACCTCCAGCGGCCGCAGGTCCAGGCTCACGTACTGCTGCGCTCCCGCCGTGTACGGTGGCCACTGCGGGGCTTTAGGGTCGACGGGGTCATTGGGGTCTCTGCGGAAGGAAAGGGAGACTCAGCCTGAAGCAGGCCTGCCCCACCCGGGGGATGGGAGTGGGGACGGGGAATGAAGATCGGCAGCGGGCGCAGACGGCGGGCCCATCCCCTCCCGGCGGGCCCTCTGCTGCTCTGCCGCCCTCTTACCGCCCTCCCACCGCCACCGCCCCAAGCCTTCTCTCTCCTCTGCCTTTTCCTCAGTTTCTCTGTTCCATCTTCCTCTTTGTTTCTCCCGTTAAAGAAACCGCTAGGATTTATTGGACCCTTCCCGCGTAACCAGGCCTGGTCCTGTCTCTACAAACATCACGTTGTCTTTCCACAGCATCCATCTGATGCTGGATTGATTGTCCCCTTCTTCTGCCAGGTACTGTTGTGTGTGCGAGGGAGAATGTGTCACAGCTAATGAATCACCACTAGTCCCACTTAATCCAGCTCTGTAGTTCCCACTATGACTGCCAAGTCCTTTGTCTTGGTCTCCCTTTGCCCACCTCTCCTCCTTGCCTTCCTCTGCCTCCGTCCCTGTCTCTTCCCCGCGTCTCCTGTGCCTTTCTCTCTTCCCTTCTGCCTTCTTTGCAAACCTTCCCCTCTCCGGCTCTCCTTTCCTGCCTCTCTCCTGCCGCTCCTCTCTGTGTCTGTGTGTCTGCCTGTCTGTGGGTTCCCCCTGCTTCCCGACCCTGGAGCCTTCTCCCTCTCAGCACTGCTGACCCTGTGCGGGCGAAGTTGGCCCAGTATCTCATCAGTCGCTGGGCAAAGATTTTCTCCGCCGTGGTGTAGTTTAGCGAGGGATTCAGGGGGAGCCCGAAGATGAACTCGATCTCGTAGCCGTGGGGCACCCCCATCCACAGGGGCCAGGAGATCGTGGAGGCACGGTGTTCAAAGACGTAGGCGTAGACCCGGGCACCCTGGGTGGCCAGTTGCCCAGCCAGCTGGGCCACAGGGCACACGACGTTGTGGTCACCCACCACATCACTCAGGGCCTCCCTCAGGCGTGCTGGGTCCTCGGGATGCAGCCAGTCTGTGTAATGCAGGACCACAGCCTCGGCTGCCAGGTCACTTACCTGGGGGACCCCGACCCGCACCCCGGCCAGGAACTGGGCCCGGCTGATGAGAGACTCGTTGTCTTTGCTGAAGCCTGGGGCCCCGTAAACGAGAAAATAGGAGCCCTCATCCTTCACCACACCCACCAGCACCTGGGGGTGGAGGGTGGGATGGAGGGACAGGCACGGACAGACAGGCAGACAGAAACAGATGGACAAAGAACCAGAGAGATGAAGTTACAGACCCAGCACCATGGAGGGAGAGAGTACGAGGTTGGGGAAGGGTCGGAGAGAAACAGGAAATATACCCACAGTTCCTTTCCTCTCTGCCCCACTGACCACCTTGGGATCTGAGCCTTGGGTTTGGGGGTGACCATGGGGCCCAGAAGCCTGGACCTCTGGGAGTGAGTCTGGATGAGCCCTCATGCCTGGGTCCCTGGGGGGAGAGGTGGGGCTGTTGGGACCCAGAGGAACCAGCTCCACCCCCACCAGCCACTAGTCACCTGCAGGCCATGGAAGTCTCCTGCGTTGATGAGGGCCTCGGGCGTGTCACTGAGGAAGTCTCCATCCACCACAGGCACGAAGGAAAATCGGAAGACACTTTCCTGAGGCAGTACGTGCCACTCGTGGTCCACCAGGTCCTGAGCTGGTCGTGTCCGAAGGCAGGCTACCAGCTCTGTGTCATTGCCACCAGCGCTTCCCGGGGGACAGCCCACAAGGCGGGCCAGCAGCGTGGCCCTGCGACGGGCCTCTCCCATGCCCACCGTGGCCCAGGGCCCATTGGGTGCACCACTCTGCAGCACAGCCCTGTGGAACAGCCCCCGGCTGGGCGGGGACAGCAGGTGCATACCCACCGAGGCAGCACCTGCACTCTCCCCAAACAGCGTCACTGACGTTGGGTCCCCTCCGAAGGCTGCCACATTCTCCTGCACCCATTGCAGTGCCAGCCTCTGATCCAGTAGACCAACGTTGCCCGGGGCCTCTCGGCTCCCTGGCAGGGCCAAGAAGCCAAAGGCTCCTACCCGGTAGTTCATAGACACCAGCACAGTCCCCTCGGCTTGTACCAGGAAGCGGCCATCATACACATCCAGGGAGGAGGACCCACTGTAGAAGCCACCCCCATAGATCCAGACGAGGACAGGGGTGGGGGACGAAGGCCTGGGGTATGGTGTCCACACGTTGAGGTAGAGGCAGTCCTCACTCAGTGCACGGTTGGGGTTCCACATCTCAATGCCCTCAAAACCGGGGTACAGGGTGTCCACGTATTGGTAACAGACGCTCTGGAAGGTTGTAGCATCCAACACCCCTGGCCAGGGCCGCTTGGGCTCTGGTGGCAGAAAGCGACGAGGCCCCACAGGTGGCTCCGCGAAGGGAATGCCCAGAAAAGCAGAGACAGGGCCCCCAGGGGCCTTTAGGCGAATGCCCCGCAGCCGGCCACCTCGAACTGTCACCAGCAGCTCTGGGTCCTCCCTGCCCTCAGCCCCTGCCCCTCCTCCCAGGAGGGAGAGGAGGAGGAGAAGGAGTGGGGAAGCCAGGGAGGACGTGTGACACCACTGGGGCCTCATGGCTGCAGGGCAGACAGCGTCTGCTGGGAGAAAGAAAGACAAGGGTGAAGGCCTGAGCGGCCAGGAGGGAGGAGATTAGGGAACAGTTTGCCCAAGGGTTATCACTGAGCTACAGAGGAGGTGGGGCAGGAGAGGGAGGGAGACAGGCAGGGACAAGGACACAGGCCAGCAGGCAAGGGGGGACAGAGATCAGGCAGACACACACACGCAGACAAATGCAGGGAACAGAGATGAATCCTGCCAAGGAATATCCTCCCCTGCCCTGCAGGGGACCCACCACCCTCACCTCTTTTCCCAGGCTGGGTGGACTGGGGTGGGCCCCGTGTGTGCAATGCGGGCACCAGAGGCCGCAGTCTCCTGCACAGGCCACCAGACAGGGGCGCGGCACTCACTGACAGGCAGGGCCTTTAGGGGAGCTTGAGGCAGCATGAAGGATCTGCCCAAGTCTCTCCTGCGTTGGCCAGGACTGGGGCCCTAAGGGGTGGCTTGGGCTTTTGGAGGTGGGAGC